GGCTGGCCCTGCGGAGGGGAAACGGCCGCGCGCTCGGCAGCCCCGAGGCGGCCAGGCCAGCTCCGCGGTGCCACGGTTCAGCCAGGCGGGCAGAGTGGCTTCACGGAGCCCTTACCCGTGTGTCCCCGCGCGGGCAGCACACCGGGGATCTTCTGCAGCCCAGACACCAGGAGGTTCTCAGGAAGGAGGTGCAGGACCGTCTCCAGGGGCGCGTGGGGCCTCAAGGCGTAATGCAGGTGACTGTTCTCCATCACTGTCATGTACTTGTTCTCTAAAGGAGAGAAAACGCTGTGAAACGCTCGAGACCCTGGGGAGGCAGCCCTAGCACTGCTGTCAGACTGTCGCCCTAACACTGCTAACGGGAGCACAGCAGCTTGTCCGGCGGTTGCTGCAGAGGTTCAGATTCCCTCTCGGCACCAGAACAACATTCCCATTCCACACACTGACATGAAACACATCCAAGCACTTGCGCTTTCAAGCTACTCAGCAGTTTCTGGCATTCATGGAATTAAGCGGTCAGGACTGTTTTCACAGCAAGTGGAATAATGGGGTGACTCTGGCTGTAAGGTACACTCGCTATTTCCAGTGCCCGTGCTGGCAAGCTGAGTGCTTGGGAAGCAGTATTACTCACAGACCAATTATGCCTCTCAAGTAGCAACAGATCCAAGCTGCCTCCTCTCAACAAAACGCACCGTATGGACGGCACAGAGCTTCCTAACGGCCTGCCACAGATGGCCATAATGTTCAGTATTTCTCAGCCGTCTTCACTGACCGTCACCGCAGGGCGCTCCATGCTCATCCCTGGCACCTGCCAGCGCGTTCTCAACGCGTGTTCTGCAGCGGGCACCATCACCAGTGCGAGAAGCCTCCTGCTCCAGCACAGGAAAAATGGGCACCTTGCACCCAGTGACTGTCTATGAAGAGCCTCACCTAGAACAAGGCAGCTTCCAAAGCCAACGAGTCTTTCTGGAACAGCACCGTCTTATTTTACATCTTATTTCCACTAGGCCGTCCACAAAAGCATTTCTAATTCTGGTTTCTAATTCTGTCAGCCTGCAGTCCTGACAAGGTTTTCCCAGCTTTTTCCTAACCCAGCACTTGCGTGAGTGGTAAGAAGCACCTGGAACTTCCCTCCCCTCCTGGGGGGTGGGACGAGGTCCCCCCGCCAGCCCCGCGCGCTGGGCAGACGGTCGTTGGGCTGCTTTGAGCCCGCAGGAAAGCGGCGAGCCAGCTGACAGGCACCGACCGTGTCCAGGAGGACAAAGGTCTCGGCTACCTGCTCTGCAAGACATCGTCCCCTTGGATTTCCCCCCAACCCCTAACCCTCATCCTAACCCCAACCTTTACCCTAAAGCCAACCCCAGCTCCTGGGCCAGGAGCTTCAGAGAAGGGGACACACGTGCTCGCAGCACAGGCCTGCCCAGCAAGGGCAGCTCAGAGGTATCCAGATGCACTTACTTTCCACAGGGTCCTGGAAAAGTGGGTGCAGCAAAGCACGGGGCGTCCCGTGGTAGAGCTTGAGCCTAAAACCAAAGAGCAAAACCAAATATGAAACGTTTAGTGAATTAACCCTACAGCATGTTTCCTGCAGTGCCTCTACTCATTAAAAAGGAATCCATCCCTACTCTGTCACCACAAGTCGTCCTGTTGGAGGACAAGCCCATTTCTGCTTCCATAGCAGTTAAGAATCCCAGTCTCCAAGTCCAAGATCTGTCTTTGCAGCCACAGGACCACCCGTTGCACCCTCCCATGGGCACCAGGCCCAAAGCACCTCAGGGTGCTTCCCAACACCAAGGGGCTCCGTTTCCCCGCGCAGAAGGAACCTACCCTCTGTCCTTGGCAGGCGGATTCGTCGTTTCTGACTTGCTGTTGAAGAGATGAATGATTCCAAACCCGCACGACAGATCCTGAGAGATCCCATCTTGATTCTTGACTATGGCCACGACTTCCACTACAGCAGCGATGCTGGGGTGGTCCAACGAGGTGTGGAAGTAAACGGTCTAGCGGAGAGGCGAGGGAAGGGAGAAAGGGCATCTGAGACTCCAGACCTGAATGGAGCAGCTCCCGCGAGGCCCCGGTCGGTGTCGGCCGAGCTCCGTCCCGGCCGGGGAGCTGCGGAGCGGGGCCGGAGCGAGGGCTGGAGCCCGCAGGGCTGCCTGCTCAGTGCCCACGACTCCCCCCGAAGCCTGGGGCGGCACCGGGCTCTGCCGCAGCCTGGCACAGGCAGCGGCCTCTGTGTTTGTTTGGGACCCGGAGGAGCAGTCGGCTCCTTGGAGAGCTGGGAACGGCCTCTTTTCCAGGCAATGCGGATTAGCAACTCTCAGGCTGCACCAGGATTAAGAGCCGGATTTAGAGGCCCGGTTGACCCAGCATCTTGCTGCACGTCCCATGCTGGAAAAGGCCGGCGCATGGAGGCCCCGAGGGCTGGCACAGCCCTCATGGGTGCTGCGAGCAGGGGAGGCCACAGCAGCAGGGACCCGAGGGAGGGGACGGGACAGGGGTCATCTCCCAGGGACAGGGCTTAAAGTCGGGTTAATCTTTCTATTAAAAAGTCATTATCAGAGTGTCCCAGAGAAAACATTTAGTGTAATCACAGACTGTCAGGAAGGGATAACTGAGAAGGACATTAACACATCATCGCAGGGTAATAAATCATTATTCTATTATCTCCTAGTGCAGAGAGCTGCGGTGATGACCGCCGGCTGCTGACAAGCGCTGGACGCCGAGACGGATGCTCCGGCCCTCCGGGAGCCGCGGAGCCGTTAGACAGGGTCCACGGCTGGACTCGGGCGTACGGCCGGCTCCTTGAACGCGGATGACGGTCCCCGCGGCAGGCGCTGCTCCTGGCCGCGCTCAACGCGATGCAGCGCGGAGGTCACCCCGCGCAGCGCCCGCGGCCTCCCCTCGCCCGCGCTGCTGCTGCCGCAACGCCCGAGCTCCACATCCAGCGTGTGGAGACGGGGTTTGCTCCCCCTCGCGCTCTGCTGACTGCCGTGAGGCTGCTCCCCAGCGCTGCGGCCGCCCCGAGCGGCGGCAGGGCCGAGGGGGGACGCGCAGGGCGGTTTGGCCACTACAGTAACACTGCGTGATCCGGAGCTGCGACGCGCGGGCAGCCCCAGTGAGAGCGCCCGCGGACTGCACACGAGCGCCTGGAGCCCGCAGCGTCACTCATCTCACCGGGATGGCAGGCAGCAAACGGGCACACAGGGACACACAGGGACGCGCTGCCTCCTCCGCAGCGCCTGGCCACGGAGCGGGCAGCCCCATCTCTCCGGAGAGCACAGGCTGTCAGCGATTTAACAAAGCTGAGGAGGGCGCCTATAAAGCGTGCCAAACTTCACCCCCGGCACAGCGTGCTAGCCAAAGGTATAACCAGAAAGAGCCCTGAAGGAGGAGACGAAATCTCAGCTGCAATCAGTGTCCAAACCGCAAGGATCATGGCCTCCCTCTTGGCTAACTGCACAAACCCACCGGTGCTCGGAGGGGAGCAGAGCCATCGCTGCCAGCCGTGCTGCTAATCAGCCCTGCAGAACTTTGTGATTGTTCACCTCATAGCGCTGAGAGAGACAAGGTGCCATTCCCTTTTGCCAAAACTGATAATGGATAAAACTGTTTTTGTGTAAACCTAATACCGCGGTGACAAGGAAGCGGCTCTGCCCGGAGGCTCGCCAGCGCTCGCCCCGTTGCTGAGGGAGCAGTGCACTCTGCTGTCAGCTCCGGCGCACAGCAAGGGACACGGCACGAGCGGCACCAACGCACCACACGCTCGCAAGCCCCAGGAGACCCAGGTTATGGGTCTCACCCCTTGTGCGTAAGCCAGACACCCAAGATCAGAAAGCGCCTTCGCGTGCAGGACGTGGGATGAAGCACAGGCG